AAGAAGGGGCAGAGAAAAGGGTATTGAACAGAGGATCACAGAGTAGGTACTGCACTACAGCAAGAGAGCCTGATGTGGAATGTAGAACTCACAAACCTGAGATCATGGCGTGACCTGAACATGGCAGATGTCTGTAAGCTTAACCAGCCCCGCTAGTGCACTCAGGTGTACTGCAGATTTTTTTAGTAAACTTTAGTTTTAAAACTTGATAAATCTTGGAATTGACAGAGAGGAATTTAGGGAATTGTGAGGCATTCTAGAGAGAAAGAATATCAGAAAAAAAGGGGCAGAGAGAACATGGAAGAAGTGGGAGTAAGGTGCAGGTATTCAGCATGGGAAGAGAGAAATGTGTGAGGAGCCTCAGAAAAAAAGTCTCAGGGCCCTGAGAAAAAAGGTGTAACTTAAGCCTACTTGCGAAGATGAATAATGCGGTAAGATTTTTGATGATGGGGGAGTAAATCTGCAGCAAGGGAATTTCCCTTTTCAATTCCCATTCACTGTATTAAACCTCTTTGTGTTTTGTTCTTGGGCAGATGAGGAGCCTTTCTTGGATTAATGGAGGCCCCCTGTTGTAGTGACTAAGGTAGATGTAGTTTTACTTTTGACATATCCTTGTCTCATCTGGGTCTGGGAGCTCTTCAAGTCTTAAAATCTCATTTTGAAGGTGGAGCCCAAAGTCCCAATGTTTTAAATTCCTTTTCTCAGCAAAAAAAAGAATTAGGACTCTCTCTCCTAATCAGGGAGAGTGTTGCCCACAAAAAGGCAATGCCCTATGAAAACTAAGCCCTTCAGTTATTAGAGGGGAACAAAAAAATTCACATGCAGGGATAAGTCAAAGTCACCGTGACAACAGAGATATTTGTGACAATGTCTTTTCTTCTTCTTCTTTTTTTTTATAAGGGCAACCAACACTACTTCAGTTTGGAAATCATTTTTTTAATACTTTTTATTTGTTCAAAAGCGAGGTATACTTGGTTATAGGTAATACTTTTGACTTTTTAAAGGGTTTATTGTATTAGAAATATACTAATGCGAGCCTGGGTAAAGCGCCTTGGTCGGTTAAGCGTCGACTTCAATGAGCAGGTCCTGCGATCACCACCATGCGCGTTCTGTGAGTTCGAGGCCAGCGTCAGGCTCAGGCTGGTGGCTCGAGCCTGGAGCTATTTCGATTCTGTGTCTCCCTCTCTCTGCCCCTCCCCGTTCATACTCTGTCTCTCTCTCTACTAAAAATAAATAAGCGTTTGAAAAAAAAAAAAAAATTAAAAAGAAATACTAATCACTGCCATGATATATATATATATATATATATATATATCCTACACATACACATGCCATATATATATGTATACACACACACACACATACACACACACACACACACATACAGCACATATGAGGCCTGAAGTAAGGGCAGTCAGGACTGACCATGTAGGTAAAGAAACAATAGCGATATGTGTATTAGAGCAACATATTTTTTTTTCTGAGTTAGTCTAATACAACTGCTTTAAAGCGTTATTTCATAAAATAGCTGTTGTTGTATTCCTGCTTCTCCTCTATATGTTCAGCTTGTTTTCTTTTAAACACTGAGTTGTTGACTTTCCAAGAAGAAAAGATACAAAATATCCTGAAAGTAATAAAGGCTAAATATTGAAGAGCAGTATTTGACTTGATATGGATATCTAAATACATATAATAATGAGCTGTGTCGATGTCTCTGTATGTCTTATACCCTTTCTCTTTGGGTTTATGTTGGTTGGAAGTGGTATTCGGGCTCTGCCCAGTTGCAATCCTCTGCCATTTCTAGGTCCCAATATGACTTTTGGGTAGAGTATTTCCTGTCTATGTTCCAGTTCCCTCATTTGGAAATGTGAGGGGATAATACTACCCACTTTATAGGTAGTCATTGGGAACAGAGGTGAGATGATATCCATGCAATAAAAGTGTCCAGACAAATTGCAAACCCTAACAAATAATATTAACCATCAGCTGTTCTGGTTGCATTAATATAACATACGCTTTCCCTTATAACTCCTGCTAAAGAGCTGAATTTTAAAATGATGAAAAAGATTTTGATCTCATGGAGTATTTTCTGCCATGCCCCACCACACACTACCATTATTTTTGCCAATAAACTAATTTTGTCTGAAACGGTACTTAGCAGCTGATCACTTCTTTGATTGTAGTTGCTCCGGAACTGTGCGGAAGGTGATCATTTCTAACAATTGGTCTTGATATGTATATAGTCCTGAAAACCTGTTCAATTAATGCCACTCAGTGTACCTCTAACCACTAATAAACCTCTGAAGATACTGTACTGACGAATAGCACTCAAGATCTCATAATATATGGAAGGCATTATTTTAATTATTTTGTATATTAAATATGCAATATTTCACCTAAAAAATATGATACTACATATGGCCAGCTTGCAGATGTATTGCACTACGAAGTTAAATGATGCTTACCAACTGAAGTGTTTGGGAGGAAATTAATTAGCAGTTCAGGAAGAGGAACTCTAAGTAATATTAGGTGGTTATTGTGTAGGGACTTATGCATGAAAATATCTACATAGAGACAAAATTTTAAAAAGAAAAACGTAACCATTATACCACATGTATCATTTTAGATTGTGCTTACTTAAAGCGAAGTATGGCTTTTCTGAAAGACCTGTGCATATGATACCCCACTACCCTATGTCTTGGCTTACCAGCATTTTAAAATCTTAAAGATTCTAATATATTCTTTTTTGATCTGTATAGGTCTGATAAAAGAAGGTGAAATACAGCATTATTTTAAATATAAACTGAACACAGATTATCCTTCGAGACGCTTTCATATGATTTTTTAAACTTTTAAATCTGCCTTTTTTGGTTAAAAACTTCGATCATATAAAAAAGCCGATGTCGAATAGCGGTAGCTGAATTTTCTCGAAAGTTTGTTGAAAATATTAGAAACAGTGGTGCTGGAATTGCTCAGTTAGTAAAGCATCTGAGTACTTTCGGCTCCCGTCATGATCTCTTCCGTGAGTTTGAACCCCGCCGTCAGGCTTTGACTGCTTTGACAGGTGGGAGGCTGAGCCAACTTCCGATTCTGTGTCTCCATCTCTCTGCCCCTCCTATCACCCCGCAGCTCTCTGTATCTCTGTCTCTCTCTCTCTCTCAAAATAAAAGCATTATAATAAATTTATTTCTGAAAAATAAAATATTCATGGTTCACTATGATTTGACGTGGTTTAGAAAAGTGTTAAAATGCAGGATGATTTTTCTGTAGTTTTTCTGAAAATTTTTTCAAGTATTGGCTATTAATAAACATATACAAATTAAAAAAAAACAAACAAGTATTTCTAGGGAAGGACATAAGGATTCAATCTAAACCTAAATTGATTCTTCACATATCCAGACTTCAGGACCAGTTTCTACTATATTAGCTTGTCTTGTTTTTTAATATATGAATATGGTAGAAATATATTCAAATGAGCTTGATAGACTATTCCCTATGGCCTGTATATGTATAGAAGGAGAAGGCAAGACCAATTGGATAAAATGCTCAATTAACTGTGACTGCTTTTATGTCGTTTACTAGTTTTGGTTCATGTTTTTGAACCACCTAGGTCACAAATTTCTTTGAAACTTCTGGATCCATGCTAAACCTAAGTAACAAATATTAGCTCTAACCTGGGACTCCTGTTCTTTCCATCTTGAATTCCACCATGTTGAGTGGAATACATACATACATACATACATACATACATAAATTGTAGACTTAGTGATAGAAGTGGTGATAGCTATGAAAGGGAAGAGGTGAACCTGGAAAACCACCTTTCCTTAAAAATTTTCTTTGACTTTAGAACATAGACCTTTTTGCCAGTGAAGATTTATTTCTAATTTGTAAAATGAAAAGACTTACTGGGGAACATGAAGGACTTTTCTTTTGGTCTTCCTTCTTCCATCAGTTTGAGTATTTGAAAGGTATGTGAAAGAAATGTGATTATGTGAGAGAAAACATGACTATTTCTCATAGAGTGAAAATAGCATTTAGAACTCTTTAGGAATGGAAATAATTACTAGTTGAGAATGGTCATGAAATCAGAATTGGAATTATAAAGTCTCAATTGTGGCTCTTCATTTCATGAGATGGGTAGAAAAAGAGATACTTTGCCAGTAATGCATAATAAGAAAGGTTACTTTAATATTGTGCAAAAAAATTTGGCTGAGACCTAGTGTCATATTTCTCTTGAAATGTAAAACATGATTCCCAGAGTATGAAAAGAATTTATTTTTGTATCTTTGTGGGGAATTAGAGCTATAGTTTTGTTTTGTTTTTTCTTTATTACATAAGTAATGTATGTACACTGAAAAATTTTGGAAAGTGTTTAAACTTGGTATGATACCTTAAAATTAAAAGAATTATAAGCAGATTTCTTTTACTAAAAGTAACCAGTTTTCCAATGCTAACATAGGAATTATAACTGAATGTGTCACAAAAGTGGATAAGTTAATAAAGCCTGTCTGTGGGTCCCTTAAAGAAAGATCTTTCAATGCTAGTATAACTTTATTAGCTTTTAAAAATCATCTATGTCTGACAATCTCAGCACTTAAAAATGAGGCTCATAAAAATATACATTAAAAAAGTAAATAATCCATGCCCACCTCAATTTAAAATAATTTTATTTAGGGGCGCCTGGGTGGCGCAGTCGGTTAAGCGTCCGACTTCAGCCAGGTCACGATCTCGCGGTCCGTGAGTTCGAGCCCCGCGTCAGGCTCTGGGCTGATGGCTCAGAGCCTGGAGCCTGTTTCCGATTCTGTGTCTCCCTCTCTCTCTCTGACCCTCCCCCGTTCATGCTCTGTCTCTCTCTGTCCCAAAAATAAATAAACGTTGAAAAAAAAATAATTTTATTTAATATCATATATGTAACATCTGATGAAACATACAGCTGAAGAAGTGTGATATGCTATACATAATTTATGCTTCACCAAGTGTTTTATAATTGTTTTATCTAGGGCCCCAAAGGAGATCCAGGACTTTCCCCTGGTCAAGCTGTTCCTGGAAAAAAGGTAATTAGTTGCCCGTGGACTAAAATCATGGAGATATATTTCAGGCATTAAAAAAAATCATTTTTATCTTCTTTAAACATTTTTTAATGTTTATTTATTTATTTTGAGGGGTGGGGAGGACAGAGAGAGAAGGAGAGAGAATCCCCTTAACAGACCGAGCCATGCAAGCATTCCCAAAAATGTAGATTTTACCTGATATTAGACAGAGAAGAGAGAAAACTAGCAGATTTTAATGAAGGAAGAAATATTTAAAAAATAGATTATATCAGATTAATTTATCAGTTGAAATCCTAACATTAATTTTATTGAGTGTCTACTGTGATTACCATTTTGCTACCTTCCAGTTAGGGTAGGGTGGGGCGAAAAATTAGAGCAAGATATGGCCCTAATCTCAAAAACTTGCTGTTAAAAGGCATACACACAATAATACATAAATTACAATGCTATTTTGCACCTTTTTGAGAATAGTTCCATGTACTTTACCATTTTTAAGTACCACAGTAACTGCAAGAGAGGCAGTCATCATTACCTTGTTTTCCAGAATACAGAATTCATGGAAAGCCTGAGTGGCTGTCAGTTAAGTGTCTGACTCTTGGTTTTGGCTCAGGTCATGTTCTCATGGTTCCTGAGTTCAAGCCTCACATCAGCCTCCGAAGTAACCAGCACAGTGCAGAGCCTGCTTGGGATTCTCTCTCTCTCCCTTTCGCTCTGCCCTTCCCCTGCTCATTTTCTCTCTCTCTCTCTCTTTTCCGATAAGTAAATAAACTTAAAAAAAAAAAAGGAAAACAGAATTCATTGAATTTAAATGTGTCATGAATAGTAAGTGGCGGAGTTAATGATATATTTGTCTGAATTGTAATCTAATATGCATTTCATTTTGTCATAATGCTGTCAAACACATATACATTGAAGTAAAAATAAATTAGTATTTTAAAGTAAAGATAGCAACAAAATCTTTATTAGGAGAAAGGTACTGTTTTCCAGTGAGGATGAATACAAATGGAGCCTTAGGAATACATCTGGGAAGCTTTGTTTAGACAAGCACTTGATGAATGTGATACAATTATGGGATGTTTTTGTTGTGTGGTGGACATTCACAAACTTTTAAAATCCCTGAATAATTTTGATGGTTCCTGTGTTGAAATCTGATCTTTTAACTGGCTTACAGATAACTTTGTAAACTTAAAAAAAAAAAAAAAAACC